GAACAGCTTCTGAGGTCTCATCAGGACAAGGAACAGCTGTTATTACTGAATAGTGTTTAAATTTTAGTGCTGGTAAAACAGTACAAGGAATAAGTATGTACTGCAGGACACATTTTCTTAATTGTGATCTTGCTGGAATGTATCACTGGTTTAGCACACTCATGTCCATATTTAAGAAAAAAAAAAGTGACTGTACCTTTGGTAAATACTTCTGCCAGCTAGATTAGGTTTGGGTTTGTTGTTTTGTTCTGTTTCATTTTTTAAATTTTGGTTTCATATGGCTTTTCCTGACACTTTTCTTAACTCAATCACATGTTGTTCAACTTCTCATTTTTCCTCAGAAACGGATTGTAAACACAAACGTGCAACAGAATGGTGTCTTGAGTATTCTGAGCTCGGCCCGATCTTCCCTGACACAAGCTAAGAGTGCACTTGGATTGTTGCAAGAGAGCAAAGAGGTAAAGTTTACCACCTTAAGGGAGGGCTAAAACCCCCAATATCCTGTTGGAGATGAGGGTTATCTGTTATTGAGCCAGTCAAGAACGAGTCTCACAGCCCATCCTGGACGCAAAAGGAGTCTGCCTGCCTGCACAGGTTTCTGTAACCTTGTTGAGGGTTCTGATGTGTCTGAGGAAGACACCGAGCTGTAGATAATCAGGATTTGGGAGAACATCTGTGAGCAGTACCAATTGTTCTATTCTTGTATTTCTTTTTGGTTAATTGCTTTTAGCCACTGTTAGAGAGGCAAGATACTAGGCTAGAAGGGTCTTTGCTCTGACTCAGCTTTTATGTAATGGGTCTGGACGCATAATGTGATGACTGCTAGTTGTTTCCAGTAACCTGCAGAGTAAGTTGGAAGGGAATGTTTATCCCTTTGGTCTCCTCAGGTGCAAGATGTGTATAACACTGAAGCAGACATGGACAAAATGAAACATGTACAAATACAAATAAAATCAGATCTTTTTAAAACTATAGGAATATGAAAGCCTGGCTGCTCAGCTGGATGGAGCGAGGAAGGATATGAATGAAAAAGTGGCAAATCTCTCATCAGCAAGCAAAGAACCACTGGTGGTGAGGGCCGAGGAACACGCCAAATCTTTGCAAGATTTGGCAAAACAACTGGAAGAGTATGTTGCCATTCCTGTAAATGAGTAATTTTTGTATAGAACATCTGTGGTTGTAATGGTCTATAATTTCACTTGCTTTTATAACCTTTTGCAAAGCTAGAGAGAAATTAAGTTGGTCTCTTTCTGCTTCTTCATGATGTATGGAAATTTTCTTTTACTCCAAAAAACAGGTCTTCCTGTATTTTCCCTGATTTTTTTCCCCCCAGGAGTGTGAATTCACATAATACTATTTTATACTACTGTACTAACACTTCATTAACATCTTCATTAACATCTTACTAGCAAGGGAAAATCCTCATGTACGGAGTGGGAAGATGTTTAGCATATTTTTTGTAGAGTTATTTCAGGTACTCGTACTCAGGGATGCTTTTATGATATTAAAGAAGTGAGGCAAATAATTGGAATAAATGCCATCTTGGCAGTCTTCATACATGCCTGCTAAACACTATGGAGGAAAAGACCTCCTCTAGTTTTCTCATCTTTCAAAGAATCTTCTAGGAAGGCAAAAATATTATAAACTTGATAGGAATCAAGTGTTTCTCTCTCCATTATTTGTACTTTACATTGAAGTTATGAGAGGGGTTTTGGAGGTCTTCTGTGATACATCAGAACAGAATGAAAAAAAGAGTGAAATCCAGATTTATTTTTCCCTGTGCAAATTTTTCATATTTTGTCATTGCACCAACTAGAAAGTCTCAGAAAGTTAAATTCCAAATACCTAACGTGGCTAGAAAATTCTTGGGTAAAAAAAACACTTTTTTTTTTTCCCTAAGTTTTCAGTGTGATTTTTTTCACTTAAAAAGGCACTGTTCTCACAAATTCAAGGCAGCTAATACTACACAGTTGCATAGTTCACAGGGAGTGGGTAGAAGAGATTTTGTCTGTTGTTTCTGATTCCAGAGCTGCTGTGCTGGTTCTTGGGGAAAACACAAAAGGTCTTGTAGTTAGTTGCTCAATGATCTCACATCTACAGTTCTCTGAATTCCTCTTAACGGAATTGTATTTGGAGGGCTGTGATTGAGGTGCCTTATTATTGACCATATGCTTTGGTGAATTCTCGCTGTCTTAGTAATTTGAAGGCTGCTGTGGAGTCTCACAGCTGTGCTTTTCCACACACCTGAACTTATCCTGTCTTCTAAAGAGTCTTTCCATGTTGGTCTATCTCCAAATTTTATATTTTTGTAGAATGAATTTACAGATTTAATTGAAAAGCATTTTCTGTATTGGCGTTACTTAGAAAATAGAGTTCAGATCTGTTCGGAATCTGTCTCACAGCCTTGGCAGAAGGCTGCATTTTTCCCTGTTTCCCACAGAATAAAGAACAGTGCCAGGAAGGATGAGTTGGTGGGCTGTGCTGTGGAAGCTTCTACTGCCTATGACAATATTATTAGTGCCATCAAAGCAGCAGAGGAGGCAGCCAACCAAGCTGTGAAAGCAGCTGACTCAGCTTTATCCGTAAGTATCAGTTATTGGCTGAATGATGGTAAACTTGTTACAACTGGAGTTTTATTTTCTTTAACTATCTCCGAGGCCCCAAAATCAAGCACCTGTGAGTCTTGGCATGCTTCATTTTGCTGCAGCCTTTTATATGAGTTGCTGTTCTGTACATTGATTAATTA